CAGATCTGTACTCTACTTCTGCTGAAGACAATGAAACGGTGATTTGTTTCTTTGATTTTCAACTGACGGGGCTATCTCCAAGCAATACAATGTAGCCACTTACAGACCTTCATGAGTCAGGGCATGCTGCCTAGTCGGAGTCACAAAAAGCTCTTATTGAATAGTCTTGGTTGTTTGACAAAAAATCCCTAAGGTAGGGTCATTCTTCAGATATCTGAGTACATGTAATGCAGCCTTAAGATGAGGTTCTCTAGGAATCTGCATGAATTGACTCAGGTGTTGTACACTGTATGCGATGTCTAATCTGGTGTTAGTCAGGAAATTGAGCTTTCCGACTAACTTTCTGTAATATGTAGGATCAGAAAGCAGTGGTCTTTCATTAGCTTTGAGCTTCACGATGGAATCAAGAGGAGAAGATACTGCAGTATACCCTAGGCAATCATATTCTTTTAGTAGATCCACAATGAATTTCCTTCGAGAAATGAGTACACCATCTGACTTGTACAACACTTCCAACCCTAGAAAATAATGTAGCTTTCCCAAATCCTTTATTTTGAATTGATCGTGCAGAAAAAATTCCAGTGCTTTGATCTCATCTAAATCTGTTCCTGTAAGCACTACATCATCAACATAAACTGCAACAAAGACAGTGGAGGAACCATTTTTCTTGAAGAAGAAGGAATAATCAATTGCTGAATATGAATATCCTCTTGAACATAGTGATTCTGCCAACTTATCATATCATTGCCTACTGGCTTGCTTGAGTCCATACAAGGACTTCCTCAATCTGCACACTAGCCTCTTATCTTCCACCAAAAGGCCGTGTGGAACCTCCATATACACTTCTTCATGTAGATCTCCATGGAGAAACACGTTGTTCACATCTAACTGGTAGAGATCCCAATCTTTCTTTACTGGCAAACTGATGAGGGTCCTCATTGTAGTCATCTTCACCACTGGTAAAAATGTTCCAATGTAGTCGATGCCTGATTGTTGAGTGTACCATTTGACTACAAGCCTTGCTTTGAACCTTTCTACACTTCCATCGGCTTTGTGCTTGATTTTGTACACCCACTTGCATCATATTGTTGTTTTACCTGCAGGCAAATACACTAAATCCCAAGTATGGTTAGCATATAAAGCCTCGAACTCTTGGGTCATTGTTGCTTGCTATGTTGGGTTCATGACTGCTTCCTCAAAGGAAACTAGTTCACTGTCATGTGAAATATTTCTCATTAACTGTTGACTATTAGGACTCAATGCTGTGAAAGAAACATGATGGTTATTAAGAGGTGCTCTGTCAGGTAGGTCAGTTGTACTAATGGAATTTAATGTGTGGGGATCAGGATGCATTATTAGTAGGGAACACACATACTCTTTCAGATATGTAGGTGGATTATGTGCCCTTAATGATCTTCTAGGTTATGATGAAATTGAAGAGTCAGGTTGTGTGTTGGGTGAAGAAGGGGTTGGATTATCAGATGTATTATATGTGCCTAGTGTATTATCAGTTGTATCCTGACTAACAAAAATAGGATCATCTGTGACAGAATCAGTGGCACTCTTATTCTGGAAATGACTCTCATCCAAAAAATCCTCCGTAGGATTTAGATTACCAGAATCTGTATGTAACAATTTTAGTGCAGAAGGAAAGTTAGAAGGATTTGAAATAACAGCAAAAGGAAAAATATTTTCATGAAACAAAACATCTCTAGAAATGGGTATCTTCTTGGTGGCTAAGTCTAGTACCTTGTAACCTTTTGTGTCAAAGGGATATCCTACTAACACATGAGGTGTGCTCCTTGGTTCAAATTTGTCTTTGTGAGTTTTGAGGGTAGTAGGAAAGCAAACGCATCCAAAGGTCTTGAGATGGGAATAGGTTGGTTTCCTTTGATACAGAAGTTCATATGGACATTTACCATTTAAAGTTGTAGTAGGGAGTTTGTTTATCAAGTATGTTGATGTCAAAATGCACTTCCCCCAATATTTCATAGGTAATCTTGACTGGTATAGCAATGCTCTAGCAATTTCAAGCAGGTATTTGTGTTTCCTTTCCACTACACCATTTTGTTGTGGTGTATAGGGACATGTCTTTTGATGAACTATGCCTTTTGACTGGAAATATGCCACAGCTTCATTACTGGTAAATTCTAACCCATTGTCAGACCTTATTGTTTTAATGGTACTTTTGAATTGGTTTTCTATCCGAGGAACAAAATATTTTATAGCCTGAAGTGCATTGCTTTAACAACTTAGCAATTGTGTCCAGGTTGATCTACTGAAATCATCAACTATTATCAAAAAATACTTGTAATTGTTATGAGTGGATACATGGTAAGGTCCCCAGAGATCTAGGTGCAACATGTCAAAGGCATTGGTGGAAAAGGTGGTTCTTTGGGGAAAAGGTAATCTTGTCTGCCTGGCCATAGGGCAAATTGAGCAAATGAAAGGCCTGTTTGGGAGCAAAGTTAAAAGGTATAGAAGAGATACCCCTCATTTTCACAAAAGGTACATGTCCTAACCTATTGTGCCACAAATAATCAACACAATTTTCATGAGACAAGGAGGACAAATTGTCAGATAAGAAAGATGATGAAGGTGAAGGTTTCATCACAGAGCAAACTCTTTTATTACATGAATGGAAATTATTTGCATTTGATAGAAAGACTGATGAGGGAGTCTGCTTACTACATTCAGGCAATGAACATGAAATTGAACGATTAAAATCAATAGTAGGAGATGAACTACAATTATGACATTTTGGACAAAGGAAATACAGACCATTCCTTGTCTTACCAATCTCCACAGGCCTCTTCAGTGAAGGGGCCTGCATCAGACAAGATGAATTAGTAAAACTTACTATACCCATAAGGTGCAGTGTTAAAGAATGAACTGAAAATCGGGTTGAACTTAAAACTGGGAACAAACAACACTCTATTGAGAGTCAAATGTGGATTTAGTAGTGCATCACCAATTTCTGTCACTTTGACCCTATATCCATTTGGCAGAGTTACTAAGAAAGGATAGGGTAAAATTCTAACATTGATTAATAAGGTTTTATTGTATGTCATATGGTGTGTTGCTGCGGAGTCTATAATCCATGAGGCAACAGTTAATTTGAAATATTTACACGAAAGGTCACCAATTTTAGTAATTTAGGTATAACAAGCCAAGATACCTGCAAGGTTTGCTGCTCCGATTGTCATGTTCTTTGAGCCTTCTCCTGTATTTCCAACTTGAAAGTTCTCTAACAGCATCAGTAGTTGGCCATATTGTTCCTTTGTCAGATTTTGAATTCCTTGACTGGTGGTCTGGAGATCACTTGACTCACAGTTTCTTCCAGGCATTTCATCAGGCACACCATGTACATTGGCTGCAGAGGCATTCTTTCCTTTAGTGAACTTAAAGTTTTGTGGGAATCCATGTATCTTATAGCATTTCTCCCTCGTATGCCCAGGCCTTTTGCAGTAGTCACAAAATAATCGAGGTCTATTTTGTGGATACCCTGTTATGTGAGAGTTGTTTCCTGAAGCATGTGTTGGTTGATTGTAGCTTGTCCGAAATCCAGTGTTGCCAGGACCATTAGCATTCAAGGATGTGGACTCTAGTACCAACTGGTTATGTGGTCTTACTTCTCTCTCTGTTTTTCCTCCTTAATTAAGATGGAGAAGGCTTGGGCAATGTTGGGTAACGGGTTCATCATAAGAATACTGCCCCTTACCACAGTGTAGACTTCATTCAAGCTCATTAGAAATTGTATTAATCTTCGATCTTGTTCTGCCTTGTGCATATTATCTTTAGCCCCATAGGTGCGCTGACATGTGCATTAAGCAGCTACATTTAGGGTATTCAATTCTTCCCATAAATTCTTCATCTTCGTATAGTAACCAGTAATGTCAAGTGTTCCTTGGCTTAAATCATTGATCTCCTTTTGAAGTTGATACAGTTTAGCCCCGTTAGTCTGATCGTACCGATCCTCCAACTCTTGCCAAAGCTCTTTTGCATCATTGACATACTGAAGGCTATCTGTCAATTCCTTCGAAAGTGAATTCAATATCCACGAGGTTACCATATCGTCACATCTCTCCCACTGACCTAAAGTAGTTGAACTTGCATCGGGCTTTTTGACTTTGCCATTTATGAATCCAATCTTATTCTTCACTGAAAGTGCCCTGAGCACTCCTCTCCTCCAGGATCTGTAACCGATGCCATCAAAAGGCACTGAAACAAACATAGTTCCAGCATTTTCAGATGGATGCATGTATAAAGGATTACTTATGTCGACGATTGTCGTCGAACTGCTCAAAACGACGGTTTCCTGATCTCCAGCCACAGTCCTTGAAATTCTAGGCAAATGCAATTTTTGAGATAGAAACAAAGAGGATGAATCGCTGAATCAGTGAGGAAATTGAAACAAAATATGGAATATGGACTTCCGCAAATTTGCGATTATCGCAAACCCTAGACGAAGATGAAATTTCAACTAAGAAATTGGATAAAGAAGTTGAGCGAAAAGCTAATAGCCTAGCTCTAATACCATGATGAAACTCGAATTATCAGCAGATTAGAGCTGATTCTCCATTGAAGGGGAGAATCGAGCTGAAGCCATGAAAGAACAGAAGCTTCGAGAAGAGAAACAATTGAGAACAAAATTTGGAAAAATAAAAACTAATCTCATTTCTTCATCTTTCTTTCTTATAGAAAGGAGAAAAAGAGAACTAATCTAACCGCTAATTAATGACAGCAGTCAACAGCTATTAATTAATAAAAAATAATTAATCACTTTCAATAGAGACCAAGCGTTTCACCGTTGTTTAGAATCTCAAATTTTGGAAAGGATAAAAAGAAAGGGAGAAACTCAGACGATCACTCCACATTATTGTCTTTTTTGTTTTAATCATCCGGTGTAGAAACCCCCCAAGAGAAGTTGCAACTCTCTCTTATAGTAGAGGACTCGATTCTAGGATTAGGATTCGAACTCGGAGACCTCTAGATATTGATTTTCAAACCCCGAAACTAGTAGCATTTTTAAGGAACAATTGTACCCTTCAAGCGTACCAACGTTATCCTATCAATAAACAGAACCAATTACAGTAAATTCAACAGAAGAGAATGCTGCTTTGCAGCAACAATTATCACATCACTGAGATAAATCATGCTTGTAAGGGCAGACAGAGCACTAGAATATGAACAAACTTTAACCCTCTAGCACCAGATGATTCATCCAGATCCAATTTGAAGTTTTGAACAGTCATAGCTACTATTCGTCAAAGGACATTTCCATGAAGGACCCGTTGATGACCGGAGAAAAACATAGGTGAATCCCAACCCAATTCCTTCTAACAGAAAGAGTTGCCGTGCTACAGCCACTTAAATCTATGGCCATGGATAGTACTCTACAAATAAGTCATCTTGCCCAAACAGAATTACAGAACAGCAGCAGCACCCGTCTTCAGATTGTCACAAGATAAGACAGGTGGAAGAACAATAATCAACATTCAGCAAATCCTTTTATTTTATAAATTAAGCAAGAATTTTCAGTGTATCTTTGACAAACGAACTCAGCGGTATAGGCTTTCAGATCTCAGATTCTCTGCAATCTCAGTTTCCCATCGATCTCCATTCTCAAGAAGCTTCTCCTTGTCGTAAAGGAGTTCCTGATGCATACAATAAATTAGTCAAATCCAGTAATCACAATTTATTTATTTCAAATTTGTGCTTAGAAACAACTAATACTTACCTCATGAGTTTCAGTTGCAAATTCAAAATTAGGCCCCTCAACAATGGCATCAACAGGACAGGCTTCTTGGCAGAATCCACAGTAGATGCACTTTGTCATATCAATATCATATCTGTAGAAGTTATAATATACACATGATTATGGGTGTCTGAGTATCTAATGTGAGACACCCAAAGACTGACAAAAGTGTACCTAGTTGTTCGACGACTCCCATCTTCTCGCGCTTCAGCCTCGATAGTGATAGCTTGAGCAGGGCAAATCTATTAAGAGGCCCAATTAATTTGCTTCATTTATTAGCAGCAGCAGTCGTATACTTCAGCATGTAGAATGCTAGCAGTATCATTCACAACAAATCTTAACTTAAACAAAGCAGTCCTATAGTTCCCAGTGAAAGCTGCTTTTAAATTGGACAGCTCCAAAGCAGTGCCAATTTGGGGTGCTACGGCAGTTTTGCCGGTTTGGGATGTCGATTTTGGTTTTGAATAGACAAGCTGATCACCAGATTTTGGTTTTTGACACATCAATTGTGCTAACTCCCTAAAGTATTTCTCTTTATCCACATTTCATCATTGACTATGCTGATATCATATATTTCATACATTCTATAAGTATCGAATTATATGCCATCATATATTTAATTAATTTAAACATTAGTTCCATTTGAAACATATTTTCCGCTTACACCAAATGATACTCACCCCCAGTGCCAACAAAGGAAGTTTAAACGCTTACCATTCTTATTTTGGCTATTGGTTACCATAATTTCACGTCTCTTCCTTGCACTTCAAGAAGTAGCTTTTACTACTAAAGACATCATTTAGGTGACATCCATCACACGCTTCCACATGGTACTAGTTTCCCGGTAATGCATGTATTGTCAATTCAGGCAATCATTATACTACCCAAGGTCAGGACACTTGATCTAGAAAAGAGGGGTAAGCAGTTTCTATATTCTTACAATTATTATCCAAAGGACATGCTTCAATACTACCTCCCTTGTTTTTTTAAGAAGAAACTTCAACTGTGTCCATCTATAAAAGAATGGAAGCAGCAGGTAGTAGCTACCCCAGAATACAAGTAGTCGAACACCTCAACCGGAACAGTAGAAGAACGACGCAGATATCCCAGTCACCCAGATCACAAGTTTCATGAGATAACCAACATTGAACAATGACGGACACAAGTTCGAGAATCAATATAGTGAAAACAAAAACTGCAGCTGCAATTATAAATTTATAATCATAGCAATTTTGACACTTACAGCTTCACAAAGTTTACATGCAATGCATCTTTCCTCTCCGGTAGGATAACGTCGAAGGGCGTGTTCTCCACGAAAACGAGGGCTTAAAGGGCCCTTCTCAAATGGATAGTTAATCTGCAATAAACCGAGAGGTTAGCATGTAGAATGATACTACCTTAGATGAGATGGAGACCCAGTCAATGTGCAATTGAACATAAATAATGTCAAGGTAAAAAGGCAGTAGAAGCATGAGACTTACAGTCACTTTCTTTTCAAAGAAGTACTTGAGTGTCAGCATCAGACCTCGAACCATTTCAGTCAAAAACAGTGTATTTATGCTTCGCTCAAAGACTGCATTTAGTCAAAAAATCAGAAACACATGACATAACACATACAGGCACTGCCAGAGGAATCACAATGCTACGCATTATGCAAGGTGAGAGTTCTTTAAAATGATTTACCTGAATTCCAATCTTTGGATAGTTCCTTTGCTAGCTGTTCTCGTTCTTCATCATCTGCGATGATAGAAAAAGTAGTGAGTCATTAAATTTCTACTAAAAAACACCAAAAACTAAGTCACCAACAACCAAGAACATGCGAGCTACGAATAATAAACCAATGACTATGAGTTGAGTAGTACTAACTACTTTGCCACCAGAGTAAATTACCGTTCGGCATCATTTAAAACATTCTATTCGATTCACATCCTAAAGAACTGGTTACCACATTGCCCAGCATTTATCAGAAACCCCAGGCAGTCTGCCCATTTAAAGTGATGTGCAATAGAGAAAATGGCGCAATCCCCAATCCCCATTAAATAAAATCCAACATAAAGCATGCAACTGAGTTACCTCACTCAAAATGCATTCCCTGTTTGCAGCTATAGCGTGATTTTTTTTTATAGAAAAAAGAAAACTTCCTCAAGTTTCATCCCATTCATCAGCTTTTTGGTGACAATTTATATATAGCAAAGTCCATGCTTTTAGGTGTACAACAAATGCCGTTAACCTTTATAGTATATGCCTCAGGTTTCCAGCGAATATTTGACAAGTTAGAGCATGAGTCTAACCTTCTATATTAAATTAGGATTGCCCTGGAAAGATAAACCAGAATGCATGAAACTTGGTAATTCATCTCATTAAATTTTCTCACAATTTCTAACAGAAAATTTGATGGCACAGTAGACAGGAGAACTCAGGGGTTTTCCACTTGCATTGCATGGTCCCATCCAGAATAAGTAACTACATACCATGTTATGAGCTACTTTGGTCATACTTTCTTAGCCACAATACAGATTCCAATCGCGGATGTGAGCACCTAATTTTTGCCCTAATATAAAATTACTCCTAAAAAATCTAAAAAATAGCTTTAAATTATTTTTTTATATTTTTACTTAGTTTGCTTTGTACGTAAAAATAAAATAAAAAAAAATAAAAAAAGAAGAGAGAGAGAGATAGAGAGAGAGAGAAAGGTTTATGACTCGAATTAGTATACATTCGTAACTTGCTTTAGGCGCGATTAATAATAAATATCGTGACTATGGGTACGGTTTCCGTGGCATAGCCATGATACATAATCCGAATTCGGGTGTGCATTTCATGTGACCCGATCATAACTTCGAATAATAATAAAAATAAACATGCTGTAAATCGCGGGTACGTTTCACGTGGCGCGATTCCCAATGTGTACAAAAACAAACGAGTGTGCGACATCGCGACTTGTTCAAATAATTTCCATAAATATTAAAAGCGGTTAAAAGATAAAAATGCACAATAGGTTTCAAATATGTATAAATCAGATAATTAGGCCAATTATTACTAGTTAAGCGACCGTGCTAAAATCACGGAATCCGGGAGTGCCTCACACCTTCTCCCGGGTTAACAAAATTCCTTATCCGGTCTTCTGTGTTCGCAGACCATAAATAAGAGTCAATTTCCTCGATTTGGGATTTAAAATAAACCGGTGACTTGGGACATCGTAAATTATTCCAAGTGGCGACTCTGAAATAAATAAATAACCTCATTTCGATTAATGTCACTTAAATTGGAAAAACTCCCTATCCCCTCGGGAAAAGGAGGTGTGACAGCTCTGGCGACTCTGCTGGGGATAAGAACCCAGAATCTCTAGTTCAGGGTTCAGAATTCGAGCTTAGATAACTATTATGCTTGGCTTTCATGATTGTCTGATATTACTTGTTTGAGCCTAATGTGCTAATTGCCTCTCTTTACCGCTTTGATATTGTTGTGAACTGTATATAAACTGTTACGAAAACCTTTCTTCTCTCTGAGTCTTCTAAATTTTTTGGGAAGCGTGCGCTTCGCGTGGCTTCTTTTCTGTTAGAGTCATATCCTAATTTTAGAACGAGGTTCGGACAAGTTGCAAAGCCGGTGAAGCTTCTGTATTCCCGGTACGCTGCCCCCCCTCGGCTCGAGTTGTCCGCTCGGGTAAGCCAGGTCTAGAACAATATACCCAGGATTTAAACTTAGAATAACACAGCCTCATGCCGGATCCCTAGTAGGTACGTTTGCTTGCATCACGTGCATTTGACTTAGGGGACTCAACACAGGGGTTGGGTCCGTCTAGGACAGGTGTACCCAAAATTAAAGGACCATCCTGATGCATTCTTTACGTGCTACTTGTGCATTAATTTGCTTGGCTTGTATGTTGACCGGCTTCTTGAGTAAAAAAAAATCAAAAAAAAAAAGAGAAAAACCAAGAGTGAAGTAGGATAGAAAAACGCCCGATTTTGATAATCCCAGTATTCAAAAAATCCCGTTACTCTGTCGAAATTTCAAAAAATAAAAGAGAAAATCATTTCAAAACAATTCATATTTTTTTGTGCATCAAAATTGCAGAACTATGCGGGTCTGATTCTCACCGGATGTGAGATACGTAGGCAAACCTAATCGGTTCCGGCCCCCATTTTTTAAAAATTCAAAAATATTTTCCTTTAATTCCTTCTTTAGGAGTCTTTTTTTTTTTAGAAAATCCCAAGCAAATAAAAAATAAGAAAAATTTTAAACCAAAAAATATTTTATTTGTAGGAGTCTTTCATTAGAAAAAAAAAACAAATGAAATCAAAATCGAAAAAAATATTTTCTACCTTTTTTTAGAAATCTTTTTCCCAAAATTCAAAAACAAAAAATCAAAAATATAAAAAAATATTTTCTTTCTTCTTTAGAAGTCTTTTTTTTTCAAAAATTTTTTAAAAAAGAATAAAAAAAAATCAAAAAACCAAAACCAAAAATCCAAAAATATTTTCTTTCCTCTTTAAAAGCCTTTCTTTCGAAAATTTAACAAAAAAAAATTGCAAAAAGTACATATTCTTTTCCTAAATGCTTTCATTGTCTGAGTGTTTTCAAAAGTAAAAAAAAAATGTTAGCTTATTTACCTATTCATAATCCTCCTGAACTACGCAAGATCTGATTCATGTTCCCACATGATACGTAGGCAACCCACATCAGGTTCGATCGAATGATTTTTAAAAAAAAAAAGAAAAAAAAGAGAAAGTTAAGAAACAAAAAATAAAGAGAAAAAGAAAAAAAAAGTGTTTATTCTAACATGCTTGTTGTTTTGAAATAAAAGCTAGTCAAAGGTGGTCGGTTTGTTGGTTTGCGATGGCAAGTCACAAAAACAATCCAAGATCTCTCGGAAATAAAAGTATCTTTTCAACCAATTGAACAAGTACCATTGTTGTTGATCCAAGGTCATGAAAAAGCAAGTAGGCAATTTGGCGGTGAAAATTTGAAAATGGAGGCAAATGTGGGGTTGACTTTACCAGATTTGAGCAATAGGACATGGCCTGCTCGGGATGATTGTCAAAATTTGAGTGTTGAATCCAAAACAATCAAAATAGTTAAATGTCGTAGTAATGCTGATGTGCGAATGTGTGGCTAAGATGCCGCTTAGTAACTGGAAAGTCACTCCTCTTTTGGCCATGGTAGCTTATTTTGTCGTCTTTTCTTCTTCTTTTTGTGATTGGACCCTGCTATCCTTTATTCAATAAAAAAGTAGTCAGTCATTTGGTGTTTTTTTTTTTGCATAGTTCTTTTCACGCTAGTTCTAGTGACATGACATGCATGCGGNAGGTTGAATGCCGTAGTAGTACTGATGTGCAAATTTGTGGCTAAGATGTCGCTTAGCAACTGGAAAGTCACTCCTCTTTTAGACATGGAGGAGTCATGGTAGTTTATTTTGTCGTCTTTTCTTCTTCTTTTTGTGCAATCGGACCCTTCTATCCTTTATTCTATAAAAAAAAAAGCAGTCAGTCATTTTATGTCCATTTTGTGCATAGTTCTTTTCACACTAGTTCTAGTGACATGACATGCATGCGGAAATTTTGGCCAGACCTTATAAAACTGATTTAGTCTTGAATTGGATAAACGTGAGATAGAGACACTTTTGAAGATGAATATAGACATGAAACTTGTGAAAAATAAACATGAGCCAAGTTTTCATGGAACCAAAGCAGTCATGCTCATGGAAGTTAAGGATCTCTACCTTTTGAATCATTAAGAAGATCGGGCTTAAGGATGATTGGACGGGTTGAAGTCTGTTTAGCACTAAAGACAAAGTGTTTTCAAAAGAAGGTGTATTCCAAACAACTTGAAACGGACCAGTTTAGTGGCAAAATGCATCTTCTACATCAAGACAAAACCCAAGAAAAAGTCACCCAAATTGACAAGGGTCATTCACTGCTAGGAAAGTATTGCTCGTACAGTTTTACACTGAAATAAACCTAGAAAGCGACATGATTGGCATTCCCGAGGCTGGGAGGCCCTCTTTCTGCTACCCAAACAATTTATATCCTTTGTTACCCCTTTTGAGCCTGTGTTATTTTCTTTGACCACCCTCTTTTGGAATCAAGTTTAGAGTCAAAAGTCAAAAAAAAAATGAAAAAAAAAGAATATAAAAAAAATAAAAAGAAAAGTACATACCCCAAGAGTACATACTAGGCAACTCTTAGAAAATTCAAGTGAAAAAAAAAAGAAAAAACAAAAGAACAGTCAAAGGTCCATGCCCCCAGAAAATAAAAGTTGGGGTAACTTGTCTAAAAAAAAAATAAATAAATAAAAGAGAAGAAAAAAAAAGAAAAAAAGAAGACAAAGAAAAAGAAAGAAAGATGAAAAAAAAAGTTAGGTCATATGTTTGAACTACGTTAGACCTGATTCCTTAAAAAAAAGGATACGTAGGCAGCCTTACACGGTTCGGTCCAACAAAATAAGAATTAAAAAAAAAAAAAAAAATCCAAAAATCCCCAGTATCAGAAACTGGGACAAAGATTTTATTCCACTTTTGAAAGAGTCGATTCCAAGAATTGTAAGTTTACAACCCCTCATTAATTTTGAGTGTATTTTAAGTCTTATGCCGTCCTTTCTTTCCAACCCTATCCAAAAACCTTCCGAATAAAGACCTCCCGATATGCCTTCAAGAATGCCAAGAGAAGCATGCAATGAGCAACGATTGTCACGTAACATAAAACAATGTCAGTTGCTCACACTAGAAAGCAAAAGAA